ACGCCTGACCGCGCTCTCGCTTAACGGGAACCGGCTGACGCGGGCGGTGCTGCGGGAGCTGACGGAGGCGCTCAAGGACCCCCGGCGCTTCCCCTGCCTGGCCTGGGTGGACCTGGGCAACAACGAGGACATCTTCTCCCTGCCGCAGCCCTTCCTGCTGGCGCTGCGCCGGCGCTGCCCCCCCGCCCAGGGCGCCCTGCCCACCATCCTCGAGGCCGAGCCCCTCCAGACATGAAGCCGGCTCCAACCAAGCAGCATCGCCATTACCATCGCCGGGGTCCGCTCGGCCTGCGGGAGAGGAGGCCAGAGAGCAGAAGCGTTCGGACATTTGCAAGGGGGAAGGAGGCTTGTTTCCTGCCGCTTCTGAGCCATGGCTTCTAAAGAAAGAGGAAACAAGCCTAAGTAAGAGACTTCACATGCTTGCCTTTTCAAAAGCAGGCTTTGTTTACTTCTGCAGACTTGGGACTCCATGCAGCCATGGCTTCAAATGAACATAGGCAGAAGGAAGTGAGCTAATGTGTTTAGATATCTACAAGAAGCTTTGTTTATTTCTGCAGACTGGGACTCATCAGAGCAATGCCTTCCAAGGAAAGAGGAAACAAGCCCAAGGAAGGCACCTGATATGCTTAACTATTCAAAAGCAGGCTTTGTTTACTTCTGCAGACTTGGGACTCTGTGTAGCCATGGCTTCCAATGGAGATGGGCAACAGGAAGTGAGCGGATGTGTTTAGATGCCTACAAGCAAGCTTTGTTTACTTCTGCAGATGTGGGACTCCATGCAGCCATGGCTTCCAATGGAGATGGGCAACAGGAAGTGAGCTACCTATCAGAAAGCATGCCTTACTAGCAGGCTTTGTTTACTTTTGCAGACTTAGGATTCCGTGCAGCCATGGCTTCCAATGGAGATGGGCAACAGGAAGTGAGCTAACGTGTTTAGATATCTACAAGTAGGTTTTGTTTACTTCTGCAGACTTGGGACTCCATGGAGCCATGGCTTCCAGTGGAGCTGGGCAACAGGAAGTGAGCTAACGTGTTTAGATATCAACAAGCAGGCATTGTTTACTTCTGGAGACTTGGGACTCTGTGCAGCCATGGCTTCCAATGGAGATGGGCAACAGGAAATGAGCTACATTTTGGAAAGCATGTTTTGCAAGCAGATGGGCAACAGGAAGTGAACTAACGTGTTTAGATATCTACAAGCAGGCTTTGTTTCCTTCTGCAGACTTGAGACTCCATGCAGTCATGGCTTCTAATGGAAATGGGCAATAGGAAGTGATCTACCTGTCAGAAAGCATGTCTTACAAGCAGGCTTTGTTTACTTCTGCAGACTTGGCACTCCATGCTGCCATGGCTTCAAATAGAGATGGGCAACAGGAAGTGAGCTAACGTGTTCACATATCTACAAGCAAGCTTAGGTTACTTCTGCAGACTTGGCACTCCATGCAGCCATGGCTTCCAATAGAGATGGGCAACAGGAAGTGAGTGAATGTGTTTAGATATCTACAAGCAGGCATTGTTTACTTCTGCAGACTTGGGACTCCATGCAGCCATGGCTTCCAATGGAGATGGGCAACAGGAAGTGAGCTACATATCGGAAATCATGTCCTGCAAGCAGGCTTTGTTTAATTCTGCAGACAATGGGACTCCATGCAGCCATGGCTTCCAGTGGAGATGGGCAACAGGAAGTGAGCGAATGTGTTTAGATGCCTACAAGCAAGCTTTGTTTACTTCTGCAGACTTGAGACTCCATGCAGCCATGGCTTCCAATGCAGATGGGCAACAGGAAGTGAACTAATGTGTTTAGATGCCTACAAGCAGGCTTTGTTTACTTCTGCAGACTTGGGACTCCATGCAGCCATGGCTTCCAATGGAGATGGGCAACAGGAAATGAGCCAGTGTGTTTACATCTCTACAAGCAGGCTTTGTTTTCTTCTGCCTGGGAGACTAGGACTCAATGGCTTCAAATAGCAGCCAACGAAAATGAGCAAGCATGTTTACATATGCAAATGAGGGCATGTCTGAAGGAGGAAGGAAGGGAGCAAGGCTTGTTTACTTCTGCCTTGGAGACTGGTCCGAATGGCAGGAAAAATTCCATTTGAACACAAGGAAGGAAGGAAGGACTTCTTGTTCAACAGAGGACGCTTTGGAACAGAGTCGAAATAGCCATCTGTCGGGGGTGCTTTGATTATGTTTCTACTGCATGGACTCAATGGCTCCATGGGGTCTATATAGGGAATGAATGAACGGAGCAGCAAAACAAAGACAGCTTCCTTTCTCCCATTTTGACGCCTTTAAAAGGCTTTAAAAGACTTTATTCAAGGAAATAAATCATTAGATAGGGCCTGCCTATCTATCGGTCTTATCTAACTATATTTCGGGAGACATCTTGCCTCTCTCCATGCTCACAGGAGGAGGGCAAAGTAGCAGATCGGGAGCCTCTTGAGCGCAGGAGTGGAGCAAAGGAGCCCCAGCCAATAAATATAGGAACAAAGCTTTAAAAGTGGCCCGGTTTTCTTTTCCTCACAATGAAAGATTCCTGGCTTAAAACACAAGGGCACCAGAACCGTTTTCCTGAACTTCTGGAATTAATTGCACACACAAGACGGCAGTGTGGTTGTCTGCAGAGAGGGGTCAGATGGTGCTTTTTTATACCTGGCAGAATAGAATTACACTGGAGGAAGTACCTTCCAACCCTAATAATAATAATAATAATAATAATAATAATAATAATAATAATAATAATAATAATAATAATTCTATTTTCCTGCCTGGCAGGAAATAATAATAATAGTGTAGTAATAATATAATCATTCTTCCTGCCTGGCAAGAACTACTACTAATAATAATAATCATAATAATAATCATAATGATGATGATGTAATTATATCTTCCTGCTTGGTAGGAATAATAATAATCTATATAAATAAAAATGTACTGTTAGTTTGTGGGATGAACATAACTCAAAAACCACTGGACAAATTGACACAAAATTTGGACACAATACACCAATCAGGCCAACAAGTGACCATCACTCATTAAAACACTGGAAAACACAGCAGAAGGGACTTTAAAAGCCAAAAAAACAAAAAATGCATTACAACACATGCACAAAACCACACACACACATACATAAGCAAATATATACACATACAAAGTGCATATACACAGACTGGGCCACAGTAATGTGTGGCAGGGGGTGGCTAGTAATATAGTAAAAATATAGTAAGATAGTAATTCTACCTTCCTGTCTGGCAGGAATAAATCATCATCATCATCACAAAGTATTCATTAAAATATTCACACAAATATAAAAAATTCACAAAAATATTCATTAAACTAATGAAATAATGTTCACAAAAATATAAAATATTCACAGAAATATTCACAAAAATATTCATTAAACTAATCAAATAATATGCACAAAATATAAAATATTCTCAAAAATATTCAGAAAAATATATAATATGTAATATTCTCAAAAATATAAAACATTCTCAAAAATATTCAGAAAAATATTCATTAAACTAATCAAATAATATTCATGAAAATATAAACTATTTTATACACACACACATATATATATATATATTGATTTGGTTTTAGGGAAATGAGACAATGTTTCATACCTTTACAAGTCACTAAATGGAAAAACAACCCTACAGAGCTGTAGTTTGGCAAAGGAAGCAAAAGCCCTTGCAAAACTGCACCTCCCAGGCTCCCATAGCATTGGGCTGCGGCAGAGATGCCCTTTAGTTAGTTACAGAGCTGTATGGGATTCTGGGAGTTGTAGTCTTGGTCAGAGGAGGCCTTTCAAAACTACAATTCCAAGGATATTAGTATTAGTGTCAATGGCAGCTGAAGTTCTAATGGGAAGGTGCCTTTGCCGCCCTCTTGCGGCCAGGGGAATATTGCACGCGGCTTGAGATTGTGCGCTGCCATCGCGTGGACAGAGTGGGAAAGCGCACCTCCATATTCTCTCCCTATTCATGCAGTGGAGATGCAGCGCCGCGGGGTTTCCTGGGAAGCGAAGTTCCGTTTGCCTTTCCCCAGACGCGAGTAGGCGGCAAAGGGACTACATCACCCAGAGAGTGTAGCGGTGCGGCTAGTGCGCACGCGCAGTGTGAGCCAAAGCGAGAGTGTGTGAGGGGGAAAACGCGCATGCGCAGTGCGAGAGCGAGCGAGCCCGAGCGAAGGGGGGAAAAGAAGGCTCTCCCACATCTCGGTCCGGGGTTCCGTTCGAGGCGGAAGAGGAAGCGGAAGAGGAAGGCCCGAGGCTGGAGGTGAGCGAGCAGGCCTCGGCGGAGGAGGAGGCCGGAGAAAGGGTTAGGCTTCGTTTCCCGAGAAAGAGAGGTAGGCCTCGCCCCCACACAAAGGCCTCGTAGGCCTTTCCCGTTTGGCACGGAGCGCGAAAGGAGCAGGATTGGGCCTCTCGGGCTTCCGTCGCCACTGGCTTGTTGTGAGTTTTCCAGGCTGCCCAGAAGCATTCTCTCCTGACATTTCGCCTCCATCTCTGGCAGGCATCCTCACAAATTGTGAGATCTGTTGGAAACTAGGAAATTTGGGTTTATATACCTCTGGAATGATGTCCAGGGTGGGAGAAAGCACTCAGGTAGGTGCCAATGTTGCAATTAGCATTGAATGACCTCGCAGTTTCAAAATCTGGCTTCTTACTGCGTGGGGGGAATGTTGCAATGAGCCACCTTGATGAGCATTGAATGGCCTTGCAGCATCAAAGCCTGTCTGATTGCTGCCTGGGGGAATCCTTGGTTGGGAGGTGTTCGCCCACATCAATGGGCAGGCATCCTGAGAGGTGGAGCGGTCTGTTGGAAACTAGGAAACGGGGAATTTCCAGACAAGAAACAATCAGGGCCAGCTAATCACCTCCCAACAAAGGATTCCCCCAAGCAGTAAGAAGCCAGACCTTGAAACTGCGAGGCCATTCAATGCTCATCAAGGTGGCCAATTGCAGTATTCGCACTTAAGTTCTTTCTCCCACCCTGGGCATAAATAAATAGCCTGTTGGAGGCCAGTGTGAATGTTGCAATGGGCCACCTTGATGAGCATTGAATGGCCTTGCAGCATCAAAGCCTGGCTGATTGCTGCCTGGGGGAATCCTTGGTTGGGAGGTGTTAGCCCATATCTATGGGGAGCATCCTCAGAGGTTGAGCGGTCTGTTGGAAAATTTCTGTTGGGAATTTCCAGACAAGAAACAATCAGGTCCAGCCAATCACCTCCCAACAAAGGATTCCCCCAAGAAGTAAGAAGCCAGACCTTGAAACTGCGAGGCCATTCAATGCTCATCAAGGTGGCCAATTGCAGTATTCGCACCTAAGTTCTTTCTCCCACCCTGGGCATAAATAAATAGTCTGTTGGAGGCCAGTGTGAAATAGTTGCAATTGGCCACCTTGATTAGCATTGAATGGCCTCGTAGTTTCAAGGACTGGCTTCTTACTGCTTGGGGGAATCCTTTGTTGGGATATTATTATTAATGTACATATGTAGCTATTGTATCTCTCTCTCTGTGTATATACATATACATACACACAATACCTGTCCTATGCAAGTGATCTATCTTTGGCTGGAAGGCCATCCATTGGGAGGGATCAAGTGGTGACCCCCGTCACCTAGAAGTGTATTATATTATTTACATATATACCTATTGTATCTGTGTGTGTGTTTGTGTATATATATATATATATAATACCTGTCTTGTGCAAGTCATAGAATCATATAATCAAAGAGTTGGAAGAGACTTCATGGGCCATCCAGTCCAACCCCCTGCCAAGAAGCAGGAATATTGCATTCAAATCACCCCTGACAGATGGCCATCCAGCCTCTGTTTAAAAGCTTCCAAAGAAGGAGCCTCCACCACACTCTGGGGCAGAGAGTTCCACTGCTGAACGGCTCTCGCAGTCAGGAAGTTCTTCCTCATGTTTATGTGGGTTAACACCTCCCAACCAAGGATTCCTCCAGGCAGCAACTAGCCAGGCTTTGATGCTGCAAGGCCATTCAATAAGGCCATTCACCGGGAGCCCCCAGTGGCGCAGTGGGTTAAACCCCTGTGCCGGCAGGATTGAAGACTGACAGGTCGCAGGTTCGAATCCAGGGAGAGCGCAGATGAGCTCCCTCTATCAGCTCCAGCTCTACATACGGGGACATGAAAGAAGCCTCCCACAAGGATGATAAAACATCAAAACATCCGGGTGTCCCCTGGGCAATGTCCTTGCAGACAGCCAATTCTCTCACACCAGAAGCGACTTGCAGTTTCTCAAGTCGCTCCTGACATGACAAAAAAAAAATCAATAATTTTATATGGGATGTTTATTGTTAGGTGCACGATGTGGCATTTAATTTTCACTGTAGTTTGTAAGCCGCCCTGAGTCCCCTTCGGGGTGAGAAGGGCGGGGTGTAAATATAGTAAATAAATAAATGCTAATCAAGGTGGCCCATTGCAACATTCACACCGGCCTCCAACCGACTATTTATTTATTTACGGCAGGGGTCCTCAAACTTTTTAAACAGAGGGCCGAGTCCCTCAAACTGTTGGAGGGGTGGAGTATAATTTGAAAAAATATGAATGGATTCCTATGCACGCTGCACATATCTTATTTGTAGTGCAAAAAAAAAAAGCCACTTAAAAACAATACAGTAATTAAAATGAAGAACAATTTTAACAAAAATAAACTTATTAGTATTTCAATAGGAGCCCCCAGTGGCTCAGTGGGTTAAACCCCAGTGCTCGCAGGACTGAAGACTGACAGGTTGCAGGTTCGAATCCGGGAAAAGCACGGGTGAGCTCCCTCTGTCAGCTCCAGCTCCTCATGCGGGGACATGAGAGAAGCCTCCCACAAGGATGATAAAACATCCGGGTGCCCCCTGGGCAACGTCCTTGCAGATGGCCAATTCTCTCACACCAGAAGCGACTTGCAGTTTCTCAAGTCACTCCTGACACGACAAAAAAAAAAAAGTGTTTCAATGGGAAATGTTGGTCTGCTTTTGGCTGATGAGTTAGGATTGTTGTTGTTGTTGTGTGTGCTTTCAAGTCATTTCAGACTTAGATTGACCCTGAGCAAGGGCTGGGTAAATGACCTTGGAGGGCCGTAGTTTGAGGACCCCTGATTTACGACATATATATCCTGCTCTTCCACTATTATTATTGATGAGACGAAGAACAACAACCATGCTCGTAGCTATTATTACTGCGTCTCCCTGGAGTCTTTTCTCAGGCCCTCCTCTCTCACCATTCTATCCTTCCTTCCTTCTTTCCTTCCTCCATCCCTCCTTTCCTTACCTCTCTCTTTCTCCCTCCCTCTTTCCTCCCTCTCTCCTTCTTTCTTCTTCCTTCCCTTTTGTCTTTCCTTCTCTCTTTATTTATTTATGTACGACATTTATATGCCGCCCTTCTCACCCCGAAGGGGACTCAGAGCGGCTTACGAGTAAAAAGTAAATAAATATATTATTATCATAGCACAACATTAATATTATATATTACTATATTGT